AGTCTTGCAATGTTGGTTGATACAAAAACGTCACGCCAATTGTTAATCTGTAATATGTTTCTTGCAGGTTGTAGCGAGGGACAACTGAAAATTAGGTGTTCGAATGTTTCGCATTCTAATCTACAATAGAAACATTCGGGGGCATTCTCGAGAAATAAAAACCACCGCTTTTCTCGATCTTTAAAAACAGCGTATGCAAATTTATAAAGAAAGTTTTTTTCCCATACATCAAGCATTGAATTTTTCCAAATTTTGCCTGTAAATTTAATCATTTCTTCTTCTGAACAGAGGTAACGGTTTGCTGCAAAACCCAAGCGGGAAATCGCAGCTCGATGAAAACTACAGTTTTGTAAGCAGAAATAATAAACATCTCGCGAATTTGTCTGTATTGTTATAATTAAACGGCTATTGGTACTGTTTGAAAATATTGCTAAAATCACTTGAACTTATTTCAATAGAGATGTTCGTATTTCTCAACAAATTTTTGATTTCTTTCGGTAAAATTGAATCTGTTGGTAATAAACTATTTTGATCTGACATATCAGAAGCAAAGAAATCAATAATTTTCATACTAAAAAGTTTAATTTGTAGACATGGTAAGCCTATCCCACCATCTAAGATGGGGTGATATAAAACTTCTTTTCTTATGTCGAGTCTGCTTGTTTTTTTTCAATTCTGTATTTAATAATTCTTGGCATTTACTAACAGTATCCAAGTTAACTGTAATATGACGAGCCAAATGAAAAAACTTAGGGAGAACAAAAACTGACAGTGTTAATGATTTGGCCCTCAAAGATTTACTTAGTGAAATTAACCCGCGAGGTTTTTGAATTTGAGAACTCAACAATAGTTTAATATTTTCAATTTTTTGGGAAGTGTAAGACAAGACACCAAGTATTTTTGTTTCCTTGACTGTTTTATAGGGTGATAAATCAGGTATGGAAAGCACTTCGCTTTTACTTATGTTAATCATCATTTGAGTTTGTTTGCAAAATGTATCGATTAAGCGAAACAACCTGTCAATACATCGGATTTTGATAAGGCAAGTTATGTCGTCTGCATATGAAACTAGTTTGGGGCACAATATCCCGAAACCTTCAATTGCTTCTGTAGACTCAACTGCTTGAAGAAGGGGTTCGATAAAAACTATGAACAAAAATGCGGAAAGAGGGCTGAATTTTGAAGCTGGCTGATAAAAAACCATTTATCTCAATTACTGCTTTTGAGTCTAAATACAAAGTTTCAATATCTCTAACTGATAACTCATCAAGGTTTAACCCTTTCAAAATTTTGATGAGAAGTGATCTCTCAACTCTGTCAAATGCTTTAGAAAAGTCTAATTTTACAGCACATGAACCTCGGGTAGCCAATCGTTCTGGAGTAATCGCTTTTTTCAACTTTCGTATTGCTGTGTGCATTTGTCTTCCAGGCAAATACGCGTGCTGATGGTTTTTTACAATTTTGCAAAGGTCTTTTTTAATTCGATTACAGACTACATGGGCAAAGATTTTCGCGTCAGTATTCATAAGGCTGATGGGGCGAAAATCTTGTACTGCTATGGTTTTTTCAGATTTTGGGAGCAATTTGATTATTGCTAAATAAAAACTGTTTGGAAGTTTTCCACCATGAACAAAATGATTAAAAACTTTAGCTAAAATTGAACAACACGCATCCGTGAAAGTCTTGTATAGCTTAGAAGTAAGGCCGTGTGGTCCAGGCGAGCTTTTCAAATTCAATTTGTTTATAGCCAAGTGAATTTCATCTTCTGTAAAGTAATTATAGCCATCATTCTCATTTTTTCGAGTTTATTTTTTGATAAAAATATCTTTAGTAGTTGATCGGAGTCTGTTGTAGAACTATTTGAAAAAATATTTGAAAAATACTTTCGAAATTGATTAAGAATATCCTCATCCGTATGATAAACGTTCTGATCCACTTAAATTCGCTTGATTGAGTTAATTGTGTTCTTTGATGTCCATTGACTACAAAATTTAGGAACACCCTCGAATGTATAGCTGAGAGTTTTCCGAATTTTTCGATAATCTGAAAAAAAATTTTCCTTGAAAACTTTTTGAAGATGTTCCAGCACCAAATGATATTTTTCAATCAAGTTAGGGTTCGGACCTTTTCCGCTGTGAATGCAATCTCTGAGAACATTTTCGTGATGATTCAATAATTTAAGTTCTTTCTGATCTACACGCTTTTTGTTCTCTTGAATAAACCTCAGAAGGTCACAAAAATTGTGCTTAAAGTTTTCGTAACTACTTGGTGATTCATTTTCGTAAAAGTTTTTTAGATCTTCACGAATTAAGCTGGCGTTGTTGTTTAAAATTTCTTCATTTAATTTCCAGTAGCTAGGGCCGCGCTGATACAAGTTAGATGGCTTAATAAAAACGTGTAAGAGTAAATGATCAGAAATTGATATTTGAATGCTTTGCATAGAGTCATACTCTGTTTCGAATTTTATGAAAACATAATCTATGCGTGCAAAAGTTTTATTTTGTTTGTCATAATGTGTATAATCACAAAAATCTTTCTTGAGTGCAAAATCAACAAAACCAAAACAGTCAAGAATTAGTTCCTTGAGTTGGGTAAATCGTTTGATACGTGCATCATTTAACTTAAGTATTGAAGAACTGTTAATATTATCACAACTCAGCGCATTAAAGTCACCCATCATGATAATTTTCGATTTGTTAGGTAAAAATTTGATGCTTAATTTCAGGGAATTCAAAGTTGCTCGGAATGAAATTGGGTTCGCATAAACGTTGATAACAAACCAATCAAGTTTGACAAACTTTAACAATTGAAAACCTGTACTTGAAGCAATTCTTTTTGCAGGACTCAAGTTTGATGACCATAACGTTCAGAAACCACCAGATTTATTTGAGCCCGGTATGAAATCGAATAAAACATTATATTTATCCAGTAAACTCAAATGTATATTTGTAAGTTTCGATATTTTTGCTTCCTGAATGCACAAAATGAAACTGGGCGATTTTTTTAAAACTTGGCATTTTTTGATAAGTGAGTATAATTTAGCTGGATTTCCTGTGCTAAAAATATTAACGGAAAAATATCTGGTTTTTCGCACATAGAAATTTTTGCTAAATTTTCCCTCCAACCAAGTCTTCTCCGTTATTTTTAGATTTCATTTTTGGCCCTCTCTTCCGTGTTAAAACTGACCAAAAGGTTGGTGAAGTTTCACGCTCTCTTTTTGTAAGCATTCTTCCGTCAGAGGAACATTTTCGTTTGTTATTTTCGATATTTAAATTGTCTTTTTTTTCTTTTGCTGAGTAAGAAAGAAAATCTACGACCTGATTGTTGAGAACCTCATCCTTTTGTTTTTCTTCGCTTGGAGTAGCTGCACTGTTTGTTTTAGATTCATCAATCAAAACTCCAGATGGTGGTGCTTCAACATTCTTATGTTCTTCATTTTCGGTACCATTACAAAACTTATCGCTTGTTGTTTCGTCATCGTTTTTCTCGTCGCTGGCATTATTGGAGCTTGGTTTTTGTGGGTAGTGATTATTTGGATTTTTGGTTATTTGGTTCCCTATGTTGCACCAATCATCGTGATGACCTTTTTCTTGGCGTCCAGAAATCTTGCATTTTTGACATTCATGTAGTGAAGGTATGTGAAACGAGATTTCTACACCTTCCCACGTTTTGAAGCCATCCATTCTCGATTTGTATGACCAGTCCTTCAACTTTTTCTCTTGTTCTTCGTTTTGTATTTTAACTTCTAAAATTGCTCTTCCTGTGTAAACATACTGACCCGGTTCAGTTACGATACAGGTCTCACGTTGGAATATGGGGCTATGAATTATGTCTTCTGGCAATTGGAGAATTAATTTCGCTTCGATATCGTTGCATACATAAGGCAAGTTCGACAATTTGATTTTTGCTAGTTTAGGGTAAATGTTCTTGGGTCTATGAGACCTTAGAAAGCATCCCATGGGAAATACCGTCCTGTTAAGTAGAATGATTCCTTCGCTTTTGATGCTAGTTATGAATTGCTCTGCTTCGGGGGGAGCAATAACTGTCAGTGTATGAAGTTTGCGGTCATCTTTCGTCACGGTTATTGTTTTTGAGATTGTCATCTTCTGTTGCATTGTTGTGGGGAATTGTTTAAGTATATCGGAAGCACAACTTCGATATGCCTGCGCCAGATTTTCAGCTGACCTTGCAATTTCTTTCGAGATTGGGGGGATGATTTTGATTATTTGGATTTGTTTTGTTTGTGTCGTCGATTTGTTTGCTGTTAGCGCATTTCTGAAATTTGTCTCCGTTTTAATCAGCACTTCGTGAGTAATTGGTAGCTGAGATTCCGTCAGTTGTTGTTGACTCATGACTTGGTTTTACTCAATGGGGGGCAAAAAAGCCTTCACCCGGAGATATACTTGAAAAAAAAATAGATTTTTTTCTTTCAAAATGTAGAAATCAGGGGAAACGGACTTTATCCTCCACGGTAATTATCCTCCAGGCGATATCCTCCACCATTATCCTCCATTTCTCAAACAGGGACTTTTTCCTCCATTTTTATCCCCCAATTTTATAAATTTGGATGTTCATGGTCAGCTGCATGAAAAAGATGGGAGCTGTGCGACCAGTGGTTCAAAAGTTATGACCCGAGCCGTAAACAAGCTCAAAATGAGGTCCAAAACTGACGAAGTTGCTTCAGTTGGCTTGAAAATTAACAAAGCTTGCTCGTAGAGCTTCCGGGATAGGCCCATTCGCTTCCTCGTGAAAAATAGGTCTTAGAACCACCTTAGACGAGCTTGCGCGACCCTTGGTTGAGCTGCAGGAGCGACTGATCGCCTGGAGGATAATTACCGTGGAGGATAAAGTCCTGTACCCGAAATCAGAAGGCAAAAACATCAACTTTTTTTTGTTTATAAGGCATAATAATTCTCGATTCATTTCTCCGAAAATTCGTTTTGAAGTTTCCTGTGAGTTTTTTGTGCATGTTTTTAAAGTTAAAAGAATTGGACAACTGGTTTTAACTGATTTAATTTTACTTGATTGTCTAGTTTAAACTAAGACCTTCCAAATTTTCGATATAGGTTTTTAAAGTTCACGATCCAGTTGGCCTTTAGAGTACCTGATAATTTTTTTTTCTAAATTTCAGTACTACTGCTAACCAAAGTTTCATTATTTTTCTGAGCAGCTCCTACGATGATTCGACATGCCTAGTGACGAGGTTGCACGGGACGTAGCGCGCAAATTGTAAGTATCAAACTTCAGCGTAACGTTTCGAATGGAACAGCCGTATCAATTTGTTTTTCTTTAGGCGCTATTATATGCAAGTAGAAAGACTGGAAGAAGGATTTGATTTGACCGGACCTGAAATTCCGAGGAGACATTACGAGACCAAACGCAGAGTTAGTTTGTTTTTTGATTTTATTCAAAATCTCGAGCGAAAAAAAGCGAGCAAACAGGCTTACAATAGCTTGTCTGTGCTTAGTTTAAGCCGTTTGAAAAAGTACTCATTTTTTTTCTATCGAAGTCTTAGGCTTCTTTTAGATTCACTGATGATACCAAAAGCAGACAAGACTGCTTGTATCAGGGCGAAACCCTGAATGTTCCGACTGCCTTTTAAGGTTTATGGAGCAGTAATAACATTAAAAAATTAAATGTAATAAAAAAAAGAAAAAAAATTCTAAAATTTGATTTTTTTAAATAAAAATCATCCCCCCACACGCCAATTAAAGTACAAAAGGATAGATTTCGCTCCTTCTAACAAATCAATTATGGCAAATAAGCTTCTTTCAACCAACTTGGAATGATTTCTAAGACGGATTAAATCTCCGCTTACGCGTTATTAGCGCGAAATATATCGCGCGTTAATCGTCCCAAATTGGCCAAAATGGCAATCTTTAAACCCCGTAACTTTACGAAAAATAATCACAGGTGAAATATCTTTTCAAATTTGAGCTCAGGACAACAATACCTTTCGAATGATATTTAAAAATTCCGTCAAAAATGGCTAGTTAAAAAGTCAAATTTGTCTGAAGAAAAAAAAACCCACCCCGAGCACAAATATTCCATTACTTTCGTATCGAAAGTCGGAACAATAAGAATGTTCAGTTTTTGTGTCTCACTGAATGTTACTCTAGTAAACTACACGACTGGTGCAAAAACGGAACGTGGCCAAAAAATAACTTCAGACTTTGAATAAGCCGATAAAAAACGCTTCGAATTATAAAATATATACATATATCAACCATCAATCAAAACACTTTTTTTGTATATTTGTTCAACTGTTTTTTGTATATTTTTAGTGAGACGTTGAGAAAGCGAGATATGAAATTAACCTTCCCTGTTTAGACAGTAATAGCAAAACCAAAACAAATGTAAACAAGACTGCTTGTATCAGGGCAAAGCCCTGAATGTTCCGACTGCCTTTTCAGGTCTATCGAGCAGTAGTAACATAAAAAAATAAATATAATTTTAAAAATGAAAAAAAAAATTTCTAAAATTTGAAATTTTTTTATGAAATCATCCCCCACACGCCATATAAAGTTTAAAAGAATAGATTATGCTCATTGTAACAAAACAATTATGGCAAATTAGCGTCTTTCAACCAATTTGGAACGATTTAAAAGACGGATTAAATCTCCGCTTACGCGTTAATAGCGCGAAATATATCGCGCGTTAATTGTCCCAAATTGACCAAAATGGCAATCTTTAAACCCTCATAATTTTACGAAAAATGGTCACAGGTGAAATATCTTTTCAAATTTAAGGTGAGGACAACAATACCTTTTAAATGATATAAAAAATTCTGTCAAAAATGGCTAGTTAAAAAGTCGAAATTTGTCTGAAGAAAAAAAAACCCACCCCGAGCACAAATATTCCGTCACTTTCGTATCGAAAGTTGGAACAACAAGACTGCTCGTATTTGTGATTTTGTCTCATTTTTAATTTGCTAGCTTGAAATGCAATGCTTTTATTTCGTCATTAGTGTTACGAAAACCTGCTTTTTTTCTGCGTTGAATACAAAACGCTCAAAATGCTTGAAAACACAAAAAATTCGATTGTTTTTAAATCGCTCTTGCTTTTGTTTTATTTACAATCATAATTATTTACAAACTTACAATCAAAGTCTTTTCTCTTAGCCTCCTGTGTACAGCGGAGCAACTTTGCATGATAAGTCCCTTAAAGCATACTTTCGTGATGACTCCATTAAGCACTTTCTACGAGACCTGTCTCCAAATCATCCTGCTGCAAAAGAAAAGAAGTCCTCGAGCAGAACAAAAGCCCATGTTAACGAACTGCAATACCACATGGCCCAAGCGGAGTTCAGAGAACCATTCGATCGTGTCGCCAGTGGTCAACGATCGCCAAATAAAGCTTACAAACTGAAGTAGGTAGAAGTAATTTCAAAGTTTTCAACAATTCGACGATTAACCAAATTTGAAATAATTTTTAGTGTTAAACGACCGCGACCACAATCGGCTTTTCCTAGTGGCATCACCACGTTGCGCAGAACAACGCCAGTGTCAGTTTCGCCTCTTGAAGCCCATAGGCTAGTGAATACAGCAGCAAAATTACTAGTTGCCAGCGAAACAGTCGCTGTCAAATCAGGAGCTTTACAAAGGTCATCTTCTGCTATGAAAAGAAAAGAGGTAAGTTGTTCTCCTAAAAAAGATGCTTTAAAAATCTTTTTGATGCTATGTTTCATCCTGCGCCAATCTTTTTGATATATTTAGGACCAGAAGAATCTCCGCTTACCAGAAGTTGTACGTTACTGTTTTCTTTTTGTCATCACCAACGTGTTTTATTAAAACATTATCGAATTCACATATTTAGGCAGCAAAGCGCAGACGTTCAAAGAGACTCCAAAAGAGGAACTCCGCGGCAAAAAACAAACTTGCAGGCAATAAATTGGATATCAAAGAAGATGAGTCGGAATATGTTAAGCCCTTGACAGTTGAAGACATTGAAATCCAGGTTATTTGAATATTTTAACAAAATTAATTCTTTTTCTAGAAAATGGACAAGGAAAAGAGCAACAAATTTTTTCAGGCTGTTCACGAGGATTCCGTGAAGATTGAACAAGAATACAAACTGTATGTCTACACGGGTAGCAAAAGAGGTCTCGCTCCTGATGTATCGGTGAAACTTAAGTTGCACGGAAAACAAATGGAAAGCAGCTGGATCAAATTGACCGATTCTCTATCAAATAAGGTCAAATTCAGGATTAATCAAGTTAGTTTCAGAGATTACATGTTAAAGTCGGGGCTAATCAAAACAAAATTGATCAATAATCATAATGTTTTGTAGAAAGATGTGTTTTCAATGAATACAGAAGATCTCGGAGATTTGACGGCTATCTCAGTTGCGCACAACAAAGCCGCGCCTGGTATGAATTTAGACATTCACTTTCATATCTATGATATTAATAATAAATATTTATTCTCGGTTGTCAGAATGTTTATTAGCAAAAGGCTGAAAACAAATAACGCATCAAAAGTTGCACCAAAATGCAAGTACTTTGCAGTACTTAATTCGCGGGGTCGAAAATTACCGGGGTTTGGAAATTTTTTGAACAAAAATGGCGTTTTTCATTGCGTGGGTTCAAAATGATCAGGGGGGGGGGTCCCGCAAATGTGGGTCAATTCTGATTTTTAAAAAAAAGGTAAATTGAAGCCAAAAATTTTCTTGAATTTAAAAATTGGCTACTTAAACCAAAAAGGCGATAATTGTTTTGCGTGGAAAAATTGTTATTTTTGTGCATTTGGAGCGTTTATAAATGACAGAATGCAAAATTTCATAAAAGAAAAACTATTCCAGAGCAATTACGGAACAGTCAGAACAAATTTATTTCAAAAAAACTTTATTCGCTCATATTCGATTTTTTCTTTTGGGTTTGCTTGACTTGGACTTTTTTCCTATTTATTTTTTTAAAGAAGATTTATTTTCCTATTTATTTTTCAGAGCTCAATAAGTGTTCGCAGGGCAAAAATTGCTCCCTTTATTTGGTTTTAAAATACCCTTAATTTTTGAAGTCTCAGACGGAGTAGAATCATCCTGGATGAGGAGTAATCAGGTTGGTCTATTTTGAGAAAAACTTCAGTAAAAACACCTTCCGGAAATTGAAAGGTTCCGAAAGCTGTAAGGACGCGAAGTTTGTTCTAAAAATAGGACTATCTGAAAGTATTTTAAAAAACCTGTTGTTTCTTTCCTACTACCTTAATTGATTAAACATCTCTGAGTGCATAATGGTTGTTTTCATAGGGTGCAATTGGCTGCTGAACAAAATAGAAGTTGAAGACACCAGACGGGGCAAGTTGTACGTGTTCAACTACAATGACTTTGTGCCTCACGGAAAGACTAGTGCGATCGGAATGCGGAGGATTGACGTCAGTTCCGTCAAAAATATTGGAAACATCTCTACTCGCTCTACCGAAGGTAAGATTTATGATATATTTCAATTTCCCCGGAAAGTTTTCAATTTTATTACTGAGACTTCCAAATAGATATCTTAATCTAATATGTGAGTGGTTGCACTTCAGTTTGGTTTTTCGTTGGTTGCACCTCTGTTAATTTTCGAGTTCATGGCCCGCGGCAAACTCGTCTTGTAATCGAGAACTAGACTTTTTTCCAGTAAACTACTTTTCTTACAAGAAATTGACCTTACTTTATTATTGAACCATGGCCACTTACAGATGCCTTCCCTTGCTTTTTTTTCAGTTTATATGAAGAGTTTCGTTTGTCTGCTTAAGTTTTGTCGACTTAGGCGCCACATCACGCATTTTTCTTGTGCGGTAGGCAAAAACCATGTTATTTGCAAATGTGATCATTGTAATTTCAGTGGGACTTAATTTTTTATAGATTTTTTAATCAGTTTTTTTTCGGCTCAAAATTTTAGTTTTTCTGAAAAAGTACCCCAACGATTTCCTTTCCGCTTTTTCATAAAATATTTCACCAAATCTAAGACTTTGAGTTCAGTGGATAGAACGGGCTGTGTCAAGCTCTCCTGCATTGAACAGCTACGCCCAAATTGTTTTGAAACAAAAATTGATGAACCTCGGAATAGTGAAATATTTGATTTTAGCCGTTTTTTCAAAATTGTTGAATATTCTCGAAAAATACACTGCGAGGTTTTGGGTTCATTTCAAAGAACTAATGAACGGATTGTGAAGCTCATTTGCTTATGCGATTACGCCCAAAAACTTTTTTGACACCAAAAATTATGGCCCTCAAAAAAGTCAAAGTTTTGATTTTTGACTGTTGTTTTATTCATTTTGACTTTTCTCGAAAACAACCTGCCCAAACCTGCGGTTTTGGTTTCAATCCAATGTTCTGTTTGTGCATTTGCGGGTTCAAAGATCCCATGTGCTTGCGACTACGCCCAACTTTTATTATACAATAAATTATGGCCCTCGGAAAAGTCAAACTTTTTGATTTTTTAACCGTACTTTCGAACTTTTTGATTTTTCTCCAGAAACTACCCTGCCTTACTGATATTTTGGGTTCAATTCATAGAACGGGTTGTGAAAAACACATTTGCTGATGCAACTACACCCAATTTTTTTCGGCAAAAGTTATGGCCCTCGGAAAAGTCAAAGTTCCGATTTTTTGACCGTGTTTTTTTTTGAAAATTTTTGACTTTTCTCGATAACTACCTTGTCAAACCTGGTTTTATGGGTTCAATCGGAAAAACAGGTTGAATTAGTTTCTTTTGCATGAGTGGCTACGCCCAAATTTTTAAAAACACAAAGCTATGATTCCCGGAAATGTCAAGTTTTTGATTTATTGACCGTTTTTTGGACTTTTTCCGCAAGTATCCTGTTTCTAGTTTTTTGGAAACTTTTTGACCTTACGCGAGAACTAAAATCCCAATTCAAAGATTTTGAGTTCATTTGAAATAAATTGGGTTCTTTTTGTGCATGAGCGGCTATGTCTAAAAATTTGACACAAAAAGCTGGGATTCTCGGAAAAGTCTATTTTTGATTTATTGGCCATTTCTTGCAACCTTCCCGAAAACTACCCTGACAATTCTGAGATAAACTGTTCAAACGACAATTCCTGTGTCCGGAACCTTCTCTGCTTAAGTGATGAAGACCTTTTTTTGCAGAAAATACGTTGTGGATTTTGAAACGTTTTTGAACGCTTAGCGTTTTTTTAGAAACTTTTTGACTTTTCTTACAAGGTTTCAATCGAAAGAACCATTTGCGACAAGAGTTCCTACAGAAGCGGCGACTCCTTAAAATTGTTTAAGAAATTTGTTATGTCTTCGCTAGAAATCCAATTTCTCAAATGTTTTTTTTTCTCACTTACTCTGGCAGAGAAACAATTAAGGTTTTGGGCAAAGTCCAACTTTTGAAATAACCAATTTCATCCCGTATCAGTATAATAAATTCCGAAAACATCAAGCAGCAGCAATACCTCCAGTTTTGCTAGACCCCTAGTTATCTTTTATTAAGACATACGAAATTTTTCGTTTGCCGTGTATTTTTTTCAAATTTCTTTTTTTCCGACTTCTTATGTTTTTTATGTTTGTGTTGTATCGCAAGTGGTGCGCAGCTCTTTTTTTCCTCTGTGTTACAAACTTGTCAATTTGTACTTGATATTTCTTTAAAATTTTTGGCTTGATAGCTGAATTAAAATTCATTATCTAAAAGTTTTCGTTGTGAAAGAAGATGAGCCATAAATTATCTCTTTATCAATTCGTTAGAAAGTCTAAACTGCGTTGCTAATTTTAGGGGACTTAGTTTATAGTGAAAATGATTCAACTTGGTTCAAAAGAATTGGACGTGATAATTCTTTCCATCTCGTAGAACTGAAAATAAAATTTAGTAGAAAGAAGTCACTAATTTTTGATTTCTCGCCCAGTTTTTGCCCCTTTTTTCTTCCCAATTCATTGACCAAATTTTAAAAATTCAGAGTATATCGTGGGCACATAATGAGCTATTGTCTCTTTGAAAAATATTAATTGTTTTGCTTCAGTTGATAAAAAGAAGAAGAAGAAATAATAAATCAATACTTGTATACAACAAATGCATCTGAGAACAGCCAACGAACCCACTTGGGTTGCATACGGCTGCTTTTTACTCTAAAGTGACCTCAAGAAGTTTTAGCTTGATTTTGACTGTCAGTGACAAAAAAATGAACGCAAAAATTAGTAGAGTTCAAATAATTTGGTATAAATTTTTCAAAATTAGCCGTAAAACTCTTTTTTTTTTGCGTTTAAAGCTCTCAAGGTTAAAAGAAAACTTTCTGATTGGCTGTCTGAGTTTTCCCATCAAATATGCTTTTGATTATGTCTTTGGATAAGAATCTATTCAAGAACTCCACAGTAAAAAAAAATTTGGCTCTGAAACTTGCTTGTTGTAGGCCCTCGTTCCGGGTTTGTTTAAATAATTTCAGTTTGTCTACGATTAAGTTACTGCTTTTGCTAACTGTGCCTTACCTTTAAAGACTCCACAACACCCGCAGAGCAGGATGGAGAATTTTTTGACTGTGAACACCTAACTGAGCCCACACGGCAGTAACCGGTGAACGAGTCGAAAAAAGGGTTCACTTTGTAGATGTATACTGAACCCAAAAAAAATCGATAAAAAATAGTTGGTTGAAACTCTATGTAGTTTAGCTGATGACTTCACATTATATCAAAATCAAGTGAAAACAAACTTGGAAACCATGTTTTTTATATAAGTCAGAGAGATCATTTAAGCGATGTACCGCTTTTAAAATTTGAGCTTCAATCAAGCTTAGCAACTGTAATAGGACAAAATTATTTTCTTGTAACTAAACGAACAGTTCAGATCCTCGTTGTTTTGAAGAAAAAGTTTGCTCATTAGCTCTGGCTATAGGAATTTTCAAAAGCTCTTTTTTCGATTTTCTGGTATATCGGTTATATACAATGAACTCAACTAAATTTTTTAAAAGATCACTCGCATGCAGTTTGGCCAGAGATTGAAACAACGACTCAAAAGCTCGTAAGCATAAAGCTCATGAACAGTTAAAATTTCTTCATTGCCTTAAAAAGCTATAAAAATCTCCTGATTTTTCATTTAAAAAAGTGATGCGATTTATCTTCTTCTAAAAAACAAATATGTATAAATGAGTGGATTTGTAGCTTACACAGCCGTATATGGGTGTAAAGTATTGAAGGATAGACTTGTAGTTTGATTCATAGTATCTCTTTAACACGCTTTGAAGGACACAAATCTTAGTTTTAAAAAAGATTGCTGATTGGCGACGCAACTTTGCATGAACCGTTTTGAGCTTACGAAAATTAAATTTTGACCTCAGTTTTTTTTCCTATCTGCTTGTAGGATATTTTTGGGAATTTTCCAGTAATGAAGACAAGCTGGAATGCTAAAAGCGCTTTCGGTTTTCATTAACTTATTCTGTTTTTTCGAAGCTTAGACTTAACTTATTTGCCTTTACAAGCTGAGAGATTTATCTACATTGAACTAAATTTTTTCCAAGTTGAACTGAATTTTATCCTAGTTGAACTTAATTATAACTAATTATTGAGATTTGGAAAAATCTGCTCTGAAGATTTGCCCAAGATGATCGTGCACTAATCATTTTATTGCATTCAAATTTATTCGAAAAATAGCTTTTTATGCAATTTTAACATGGCCAATCCAAGCTCTATTCACTAAAAACTTAAGTTCAGAATAATTGATTCTAAAAACGCTGTTTTTCAAATCAATCGGGACAACCAGCACTTCAAGGATAACTTTCATCTTCTGTCTTATGCTTTGATCTGAAGCCCTTTTGTTTGCAAAAAATACTTGATGATCCTCCATGTAATTACATGTTTTTTTTTATTTACAAACATAATTCAATATTTTAATTTTTAGTAGTAAAATAGATTTGTAATCTTCCATATTTCATTTTGAGTCATTTTCAAGAAAAGGAAGTGTTTAAGCTCTGCTTAATAAGGCTGGAAAAGTTCCGTTTTTTTGAATAATTTATAAGTTTGGTATGAATTCATCAATTTTCGTAGATGTCGTCATTTTTATCTGCTAAATGGTATCAGGGTTTTCTTTATGACAAGCTTGAACGTCAATTGAATTTTTTGATTCGATCGATACATCTAACAATATTTGAGGGATATTCGAACTTAATTTTTCACCAATGCTGGCAAAAAATTATTTAGTTTGTTGTTTATTTTAGTTTGAGAAGTAATCCTGTAACCCTTGTTATCTAAAAATTAGCTTGTGGCTGGGTTATTTTTAAACTTGTATCTAAAAACCTATATACTTGTCTTGAGTCATCAAACACAATTTGAAAACTTTTCGTAGTAAAACTTGGGGTAGCTCTTTTCTTTTTTTTTACTTTGAATCTCTCAACTTTAAATCTTTGCATACGTTTTTATCACTGTTTGGGCAAGTTTAAGAAAAACTCGGTTGAATTTTTCTTCAAGTTTTTAAAAAGATTTATTTGAATTGTTTCGCTTAGGATGAAATGATTGCAACTGATTCTTAAGCTTCACGTTGAACCGCTGAACTTTTGTTATCCTTATTGAGGAATGATTTTTTCCTGTAGCTGATTTTGACTTCATTTTTGTTTCCTTGAGTGAAACTTGAAGATAACAATCAACTCAACTAGAAAATGAATTTTGGTTATACAAAAGAAGCGGGCTTTTTTTAAATTATATCTTTGATTTTAAAAAAATCTAGGCTATTCTTTGCCGCTTCCGTGATTTTTGAGGATTTCTGATTGAGAATATCCTTTCCATTTGATAATACGGCATCAAATTTTGTGATACGTTGATTATCACCCGTTATATTGATATCGGCAGAGAGTAATGACGGGAGAGCTTTGTAGTGACAGATTCTCAGGAAGAAAATCAAATTGCTCATTGAAGGACATTACACCTCCTTCTTTTATTGCAATTATTCTTTTTGTTAGCTATGGCTCAAATCCTTTAATTTTGTAACATTTTTTTTGTCCGTTTCATCTAGCTATTTTTCAGTGAAAGATATTTTGTTTGGTGTTGTCTCAAGACTGCCTATAAGCTCTTTTAGTTCTTCGTGATTGTTTTTAATAGATCTAGTACTTATTTTTAGTAGCTTCCAACAGTATTCAACAGAATTTTTAGCACTACTAGTGCTTTGTTGTCTTGAAGATACGATATCAATGCTTACAGAAGTATATCTCAACGTCATTCAATGAGTTCTGTAGTTGTATTCCTCCTTCACTTAGACCTCTTATACATTGCCTCTCTTATAAATTGTTCGTATCCCTGAAGTAAATGAATCTCACGCGCGTCCATGCAGACTCTACGGGGTCATCTCTTTTCATCAAACTGAGACACTTGAATCTCGGTGAGTCAAAGTTTCGAATATTTTAACGTCATTCATCGTGGAAATTAAAGTTTTTTTTTCTGAAGAGATTTACTTTGCCCATTCCTCTTGCGAAGCAAACGATCATAGTTCGTGGTTGGTTTGTTTTGTAGCAGTCGGTGGGCAATTGATATGTCTGACTCCGATACATTAGCTCCTGTTTCGGTGGTTATTTTGGTGCCCATGGCTATCTCAATACTTTATTCATTGCTTTCATGAAATCTTCTCCCGTTTTTATCGACGTCTGGGTTTTTGGAAATTCCATTATTCACACTTTGTCTCTGGGGTTATATCTTTCGATCAGCTCAGCTTCACTACGAGCTCTTAAGTCACATTGTCTTCCTTGATAGTCTATGGTATCTTCAGCGTCATCGAGGATTTGCTTGAACAAATGCATTTCACAGGTTACAGCTTCTTGAAGAGTTTTCAGGAGTGTTGTTTTTGTTTCTGCTATCTTTGTTGCCATTTGCGAGACTAGAGTCTAGAGATTTTTAACCAGCGATGTGTCTTGATCTTCATCTAAAATGGGTCTCTACTCTGAAATACTGTACACTAATGTCTGCTCACATAGAAGGTTAATAACTGATTAATTTTAAACATATTGTCAAATGCATCCTGGTTTAAAAGGAAAAGTTTGTTATGAAAATTTTTCATAGGCAAAAATCTTGTTAGGACTTTTTTTGTAGGATATCTCTAATTATTCTTCCCTCACTATGACTATTTTTTGTAACTATATCTCTTAAACTATTTTTGTACCTTGTGTAACGAACTCTTTCTTCTTGCAATGGGCGGATCAGTCTAAGAATTTTTTTTTGAATGATTTATAATAATAACAACAATTATGATCACGTGCTATCCCAATTTTCTAGCACTCGTTTTATTTGTTCATACAGGTCCTTCTCTGAGGAGTCTCGAGGAGCAGGCCAGTGACAAATCTTTATCCAGTATTTCCAGTGCACATCCAGTTCCGAAGAAGTACGAAGAGAAGGCCGCTGTCAAATCTTCATCCAGCATTTCCCCTGAACCTCCCATTCCTAAGAAGTATGTACAAAATTAGGTATACTTGGTATCTTTGTAAACTTTTTTATCATCTGATACAGGCGCGGATCTAGATTTTTCTCGAGTTGGGACGTGTTTTGAAAAGCAAATTGAAATATGGTTAACTTTTTTTTGTTTAAGGTCGAGCAAACTGATTTCCAGTGCTCTCGTAAAAGACTATAAAATCCTATTCTGTCAACATTGCTTGCGCCGCAGTCAAATTTTGGGAAAAAACGTCAAAAAGGTCAAAATGGAGCATGCTTATTAGAACAATAAATAAATCGCAGGTCTTCATATTGCATATTTAACGTTGTTTTGATCTGTTTTTTCTTCTTTCTTTAGAGAAGAGGTTCCCAAAAAGACGCCGCCTCCTGCTCGCAAGCGCACCCCTACTCCCAGTTTAAGTAGCAGTGTCAGTTCCAGCAGGAGAAGCAGTCAGGAACGGGTTTCGGAAGTTTCGGAAGAGGCGGAGGCTGATAAAAGTCAGAGCAGCGAGAGTGAGAGCGAGGCATCCTCTTCCAAGTCCGACACCAAGTCAGACGACGCTACCGAAAAGTAAGCTTGCGAGCCCGCTTTAAAATACAATTTATTATTTGTTTTTGCATAATTACACAGTAATTTTTATAAATCGTACAACCCTTCATCTTTCTCCACAAGTGCGCTTATAAAACCACCAAAAGAAAAACGAGTTAGTGATAGCTAATTCTACCAACCATGAAAAAGATTTAACAGAGCTGTAATGCAACTGATCAGAATAGAGAGAGAATAAATTGTTCCAATCATGCTCTGACTGGCTCCGATCGATGAGATAGAATCTAGAGGAATAGGTCTGGCCCAAGCATACCTCACTATTTTACCATTGAAACAATTGGTAAGCCATGCTTCATATAAAGTTACCTTATGTTAATGGCAGATAATTATTTTAGTGGTATCAGTTTTATGAAACTTATTCTAAATAACAGCCTTGATGTTTTTGGCGTTTTTTTCAATACTTCCAGAATTTATATGTGAATTAATCCAAATTTGCGTTCTAGGGAAAAAGATGACTCAGTTCCTCTAGTTGTTGAAACAGTAGAAGACAATGATATCTTCGCGGAGCAGACTCCGGTCACACCAACAGACAAAATTGAGTTCGGAGAAATGGAAGAAAAAGAAAAGACCCGGAAGCCGGTGCCAGATGAGCGATTCGTTGAACCCATAGCAGATGTTCATTCGGAGCCTGACGAAGTTGAGTTCAAATCGGTAGCCGAAGAAGAGGCTAAAGTTGAAGAAGGGCAAGAACAGATCAAAGAACCGGAGCCGCCAAAAGGTCTGGAACCTGAGGTTGTAGTTCCGGAACCTGAACCTGAGCCGGAACCAGTGGTCGTTGAGGTAACCGGCGAGGAGGCCAAGCAAGATACTCATAGATCTTCCATGAGTTCGGAAGAAGGTTTTCTGGAGGAATTAAATTTGATCAAGAATTCTAGTTTTTCCGACCAGGATAAACAACCGGACCACTGGATGCAGTTTGGTGAGTTGTTATTGCATTTTTTTTGTTTTAAATGTTTGTGTTTTGATTAATTTATGATGTTTGATTAATTATCTATTTAAAACAGAGACTTCTAAGGAACATTTGATAGACAATCAATTGTTTCATTGCTAAAATTGTCAGGTCTAGTTAAAAGAAAGATGGATCGAATCCTTTGGTTGCCTATTTGTTTTTAAAACACTAGTTAATTCTTAGCTGAGTGTTACAAATCTGCTTTGGCTTAAATTAACCTTTTGAAGGTGGTTCTAAATTAAGTATGTTGCAAATTGAATATGTTGCAGGTGGTTGTACCCTAAAGTGTGTGGACTGTACCATTCCCTTCAGTGACAACAGATACGCCTGTCTCGTCTACAACAGAAGTGCCCACTTTGCAGGAGTCACCCAGAACATCCGTGACACAGTCATCGATGGTCAGTTCAGCTTTCATTCCTCAATTACAAATTAATTTTTCAAGTAGTTTCCTCACATTGTTATTTCAAACCGCTAATTTGGAGGCTGCTGAGCTGGTAACAAAGCGTTCCATTAGTCGTAATTTCGAGATTTTTGAAAAAAAATTGCTAGTATGGAAAATTGCTCTGCGACGAATTGTCGCTCTTTCAAATGCTACGAATTGACGCCTGTGACCAATTGTCGCTTGCGACGAATTGTCGCCTCATGAAAAAATTGGCATAAAAAGTCAAAAAGTTGCTCTAACAAATTATCAATAAAAGTCTTTTGAGTTTTTGAGAAGCTTTGACGAAGCAGTCTTAATTTTGGTCACAAAACAAACGCTTGTCATCCCAGTTTTGCCCTACGCCCTACGCGAATAACACTTCAATATTGCGGATGTCATTTTTTGTAAAACTTAAATTGAGATGAATGAATACACGAACTAGTAATTCTTATTGACAGCCTTCAACACAACAGGTACGTAATTACTGGCCTGTTGTCAGGGTTAATGTAAATTGTGAAAATGGATGCAATCTATTAGAATTAAATCACCGGTTAACACATAGATCATTGTTTTTTTAACTGTTCTTCAGTGTTATGAACAAAAATAGTCTCTTTTTCGAGTCTTATTTTTCATAAATTATCTATGATTGTACTATAGATGTATGCGTATGCATGTTAGAAAAATTGCAGCTTTTAGTTTTTATTTTTAAGGTTAAGAATATTTATCCTAGAGTTAGCGAGCCCAAATACGAGTTGTTGAGTTCTTTTGCGCACCCTGAGATTTCTAGGGCTAATTCTTAAGCTGGTAAAGGTTGCTACTCAAAAAACTGAGTCCGGATCATAGTTACCCCTGAACCACTATGTTTTAATTGCGAGATTTTTTTCGCCCCGAATTAGAATTTTTTACCGAGTATTGTGCATTGAAAGCCTTCACTGTTGTTGGTTACACTTGTAATTTAAAAGTGTTAAAAAGCCGATATTAGGTGTGTGTATATGCGAGAAGAAATTGAAAATGCCCGCTTAAAAAAATGCTAAATCCGATTTTAAAAAAAACGTTTTGGAAGTAGGGGTAAAAACTAAAAATTTAGGGCAAAACTTGAAAATTTGGGGCAAACTGTGTTATCAAAGAAATGAAAATCAGCACTGGAGCCTATAACATGACAATTTAAGTCAAATTTGCGCTAGAAATTAGCCTTGAAACAGTTTAGCAAATAAAGTCATTTCAGTGCCTTTCCAATAAACACTCGGTCCCTGAGGGGGAGGGGGGGGGATAAGTTTGTGCTTTTTGAAGCAACTCAGTTCGGCAAGGATCAAACATTGGTTTTCCTGAAACACGGAAGTTCGGAGTCGTTGTAGACTCATATCGCCTGGCATGCAGATTAATTATTTAAAGCTTATCCCTCTTTATTTTAACAAATATTTACCATTCATCCTGTTGACAGTGAGTATTGTCACCATGACTTAAAATGAAACCCTTGGCCTTTTCAAATGGTCGTTCTTTTTGTTGGTCCGCTTCGCATCAGTTTGTAAAGTATTCATGTCAGTCGTTTTTTTTTCAGGCGGCAGGTACAAAATTACAGCACAAGTCAAGCTCGCTGATAGCGTCGCATCTTACGCACATGACAAAATAACCTGCACTCTACACTACAAACTGCAAACAGACACTCGATTCCAATCGATGAAGGTCACTGAAGTTGGTCACGTGAAGTCCACTACCTGGTCATACATTGTGGGGTGGGTGGAGTTGAACTTGATTCAGAAGAATGGGACTAATTTTTTTGCTGTGCGGCTGTGTTTTGACGGACCAGAGGGAGACAAGGACTTTTTAGTGAGTAATGTGGTCCTGACTCAGGAGTACGCAGAGGATGAGACAAGGAAAAACAACGTCATCAGGTGGGATTTTTGTATACTTCGGGATTACTATAACAGGAATTAATTTAACGCACTTAAAATGCCATTATCAAAACTGACATTGTTTTTTTGATAGTTTGACTATTTTTCTAAAAATTGACTTACTAGTGATTAAAGAACCTGTGAAGTTACTGAAATACGCAAAACGAAATAAAAGAAACCGACAACGAAGAATTGGTGAAACAATTTATTGGTATTTTTAGAAACAAGAGGGGTTGTTTTGAATTAGCGTTTTTTTTAGAAACGGATCCTTCAACGACTTCGTACTAACCCCTCAAAACTGGAAAGGGGTGGGACAAGCTCAGATAGCTCTTTCCAACTCACTCTATCGGGGGTCCAAGCAGGGCTGCATGACTGTAGAACGCCCCTTCGCCTACAGTGGACTAGCCCAGAGTATCCTTGACATCGTGGAACCAGGGAGACATTATTCGTTCACTGCTTATGTCCGGATAGTGGCCGGGGAGAGGGAGGGGGAGGAGAAAGGAAATCATTGTGTGAAGTGGATCCTAAAATACAACTGCGGGGACTCCAAAGGGGATATTGCTTATGAAATTGCGAGAGCCGAGTGAGTGATTTCTTTTTTTTATTGCACCACGGTTGTTTAGTTTTCTAAATAATTGTTTTGATTTGAGGCTGGTAAGCATTGCTCCCCTGCATTTTTTAACGCTTTTTACCCTGATATATTTGAGTAGTCGAATTTGGTTAACGTTTTTTATTCAAATGAGTTTTGACTTCAAAAATATCATGAAATGCGGTAAAAACAGTGCGAATCTTGATCTAAGTAAGTTAAGCGAGCATGACGACGAGGAACTCAGTTAAATTATTGCTTCGACTGGCGTGGACGGCTCATAGTTTCTATAAGCTGGTGACTATACAAAATATATCTAGCAAAAGAGGGGGAGAAATTGCATATTCGGCAAAAAAAATAAAATGTCAAATTTTCATGAAACAGTTTAAACTTGGCGTTTTTGTACTTTTTTCCTTATTTCGGCCACAAATTCCATAGCGGTCAGTTCATTCGCAATATATGCTGAATTGCATGAATTATTAAGAATACGAAAGAGTTGAGTGACGTATTTTTGTTAGCATTTTTCATTCATTTTTGACCACCAGGTGCTAAACTTTTCTGGTTCTTTAGATATTAATTATTAAAACTTCCAGTGCCTCAAGAGCAAAATGAATTATTGAGAATTTTATTAAATCTGTCATATTGAAGCTCAGAATCGTACTAACAATTTTCAAGCTGTTTTTCAAATATGGTTCTGAAAATATTTTTCAGTTAACATAGCATTAACCTGTTATCACATGAGAGTTAATCAATGCATCACATATTCATTTTTCCTAAATAGTTTTCATTTTTTGATAAAGTGCCAAATTTTTTCAATTGCCAAATGGCAATGTGCAAATTGTCTTAAGATAAACAGAATCAAGTTGAGGGGTCCCCCTTTGGTATTATTTCATGACATCAGTTTTAGGCCGACCAATCCTAAACATTTTCTAAGGGCGCCTTGGGCGCCTGGGCGCCAATATGTTAATTTTGAAGGAGAGCGCGTGTCGAAAAAGCGCAAATTTTTGGTCAAAGTTTTTCAAAAAGTGACCAAAAACGGGTCAAAATAGTTTCTTTATAGTTTTCTGGGAGAGTTCGGAAAATCAATTTGGTCGACCTAAAAAAAATTTTTGAAATTTTGTTTGAAAATCCTCCCCCCTCGAGAAAATCCTAAATCCGCCCTTGGTCAAGTTAATGGCTTTAATTCATAAAGTATTCTTTTTTTTTCAAAGTAACTACATTAAGTCAAGTTCTGAAAATTGTTAACAGAGCATTAATCTGTTATCACATGAGAGATAATCAGTGCATCACATATTCATTTTTCCTTAATAGTTTTCATTTTTCGACAAAGTGCCAATTTTTATCAATTGTCAAATTGGAATATGCATTTCGTCTGAAAATAAACTGAATTAAGTTTGTTGCTTGAATTCTAAAACCAAATATTTTTTTCATAATAACTACATTGCGTCAAGTTGAGTTATTTATCTTCTTTTTCACTCAAACATGAAATTTTATCAAATACAGGAAAGTGGATAGCTCTAAGTGGACCAAAATTAACGGAGAACTGAACATGACTGAGCTGAAAACATCCACTGGTCGGCCAGTACTAGCAGCTACCAGTCACAAATCAAACAGGAATGTCGACAGCAAACCACGGGACCAATTTGGACAGCCGTTAGAGTATTGCACCTTCCATTTTGAGACGACACTCGGCATTAATTTGTGTGTCGCTGGTCCTCGCATGATTGACGGAGGCAAGATTATGAAGCCAACTATTGAGCAACAAACCGCTGGTAAGATTAAGATTACGTTTTTCGAACTTTTTACCATGTGTTTCCAACTTGAGTTTTTGTTCCAACCACCGAAAGTGGGGAGGAGCTTTGTCTTTGGGCGTGTTTTAATTTGAAGTCTTTTTTACTTCCAATCACGCAAAATCAGGTTTCAAAAGTAATCATAAGAATGAGTCGAGTGGTATGTCTTATTATACACTAGTGGATAAAATTAAGCGCAATTCGTGTTTTTCTCTCTAAAATGCATGTTTTCAAGGACAATTTTTGACAACTTTCACGTAGAAGGTAAGCAAAATTTTTACATACACATACAGCAAATGATCTAAAATACTCTCTCTGAAAGTATAAGTCTTTAGTTTGAAGCACTTACCAGCTTTTTTCGAGTCTGAAAATGCCAGTTTTCATCATCCGCGCTAATTTTTTCACAACGCGTGAAAGTGTTAGAAACTGTTGAGTTTAAACAACAGTTGAATTAAGTTGCCACACTGATTATTTCGAAGTTTTTGATGAGAATTTTTCTCGTTGCATGCACAACTTTTTTTACTCCATTCATTCGAGAGAGAGTTCACAATGATGCAAAACTTTGTGCAGATGGTGAAAACTGGCATTTTGGTAAGTGAAAATTGGTAAATGTTTCAAAATACAAAAGAGGATAGTTCAGGTCAATTTCTGTCGGTTTATGTAAAAATTGTGTTGAAATTCAAAGTGAATATTGTCCAAAATAGTTCTTAAAGTTAGGCTTTTCAGGGAGTAAAAATCTGAATTTGCGTTTAGTTTTGTCCGCTAGTATAGGTCTTGGTCATTTTTTTTTCAGGAAAAAGTCTTAAAATTTTTTCACGCTTAATTTGATTGTTCGCGGTTTGACTTTTGATTTCCCTTCATTTCATTTCCCTTGTGAAAGGAAGGCAATTTCTTCTATCGAACAGCAAAAGTGTAAAAGTCACAAAAAACGTAATCGACTTCCAGTTACGAAAGTGAATTTTATTTTTCAGATTTCTCAGCGGAATAACAAAATAACATATTGATCCAGTGCTTTCAAATTGGGGTAATTTTATCAAAAAAAGCACCAATCATAATGTGTTATTAAAATTCAAAGAGCTTTAGGGGCATTTATTTTTAAAATTTGAAAATTGAATCGTTTTGAAAAACCGAAGTCAGTTTTTTTCTGTTTTCTGCGTTCATGATTTTTTACTACTGATTATTGGCTATGTTTATGATTTCCAGCATTAATTTTAATATTTTCGAGCCATTAATATTTTAACAGGCTAAGTTTTGTCTCTACTCCCTACAATGAGAAAAACGCAATTTTGCACTGAATGTTTAAAAATAATTATTTAGTTAAGTCCTTTTAACTGCTCGTACAGTAACCGGCTATCCTTGTTCTGTTTTAAATGTGTATGAACGAAACAAAAAAAATTTGCGTCATGTTATGTTCTGTTTTTTTCCAAAAAAAAGCTTGAAATGACTTCTGCTAGCTTTTTACTTTAGGTTTTTGTACTCAGTTTATGTCACTTCTCATTTGCATGTGAAATGAATTGAACTCGAATTGAAAGAAATGAAATGAATTGTTTTCAATTTTTTCCCAATTTCTCTTAAATCATTTTTCTATATTTTTTGGTTCGTTTTGTCATGAACGTTTAAATGAAAAACAATTATAAAATTAAAAGAGCTATTACAGTGATATGTTTTCAAGCAAAACCGAACCCCTGAACCGAAGTTACACAATGCTTTTTCCGACTTCCTTGAGTTTATCAAGCTTTTTCCAACTGTCTGTTCTTTTCCAACTGTATGTTTGTTCTTTATGTGCTTTTAGTTTTTACATTTTTCCTTGTTTTTCTTTGTACTAGTTTCAAATGGTTTTATACATTGCTCTTTTTTCTAGTCATTTGACCCGAAGGCCTAAACCGGACGTTAATTATTTATGTTGAAAAGAGATCATATAACAAGCCCCCATTAAGCATATGATTGCTTGGCACAATCGCTACCGGAGCGCGACAATGCCACAAACAGTAGCATATTTTTCTATGTGACAACTCGTGAGAAGCTCTGCGTCAACTTGGTTTTTAATTTTTATAAGTGTTTTTTGAAGGGTGAAGTAAAAAGGTTTTGCTCAAGCTTAAAGCATTATTTAATAAGAGCGTATTTAACGCATGATTTAGTACTGATTTACATTGACCAAAAAAAACGAACAAATTGGTAAGTTTCAAGCATTTTTTGCAATTTGCGTTGACATTAGACAAAAAAGAACAGTAATTATTTAGTCTTCCACCAGAATTTCTATGGTGCAATTTGAAAAGTGTCAGCCGGAAAATTTTTTTAAATGTCGACTCTGCTCTAAATAGCTCTGATGGTAAAAAGTTTGTCGTCCAAGAATACAGTGTTTTATTTGAGCAACTGTTCTCTAATTTTGATTATTTTGATAATGAAATCGAGCAATTAAATGAACCAGATACAGATATTTAGAAACTTTGCCTAAAATTCAGCACATATTTTTTCGTTTCATAACTGCTTTTCTCGAAAAATAGTGTTCCAAATTTTTTTTTGAAAATTCTCCCCTTCCTCGAGAAAATGCTAAATTCGCCCCTGAAAAACCATAATCTGAAAAACCAGCTCGGGATGTTTCTCATTCAGACCAGTCCCAGAATTTTTATTTGACCATTTTCGACGGATTTTTTTTTATTACATATGACAGATATCGATGCTCTGAGCTCAATCTCAAAAAGATTTTTTTCTTGTAAAATTTTTTGTAAAATCAAGGGGTTTGGGATAATAAATGCGCGAGAAATTTTCATTTTCTCTCAATGCGTAGCAAGTAGAAAGTTGATAACAGTCGTTCAGACTAGAACAAAGGCATGTGGAATACAGTTCTAGTCTGTATTCCACAGGCATGTGGAATACAGTAGGGCATTCACTTTGAGAACGTTGATTGAGTGTTCTATCCCTTGTAATGGCTGTGATAGTGTGCGAGGACGAGTTCTAGTTTCAGCACTAGGCGCAGGTCTACCACAACTTGACCAATTTAGGCCGCAATCGTGCTACCACATGAAAAAAACGGTCTTGAGTCGCAGTAAAAATAGCTCATTGAAATAACTCAGTTTGGAGTTTGACAAAATCATACAAATGTACTGACTATAGACAGGCCTGCCGATATCTCCTCTGAAATTCACACGCGAAACAATCTGGCTCCCAAATTATTAAAAATTCAATTGGGGCATGCAAATCGATTCAAAAAGTGTTTCAGTAGATGGGTAATATATCGTTTTGTAATTTACATTGAGATTTACATCTGATTGAGAAAAGGAACTGAACATAAATATGAATTAACACCAACTGAACGGTATCGCTCAGCCATATGGTCTTTGTTATCAGTCAAGGCCATCAATCTGTTCTGTGACTAGCTATGTATAAATAGTTTATAAATACAAATACTTAATAGTATTCAGTACTCAGTACTCACCGGCCGGATGACATGGTGTGAGGGAAGAATTGAAAAAGAAAAAATCTGTATTTTTTTATAAGTTTTATCAATAATTTGGAAACAGTTTTTACTTGAGACTCCTGAAAGTACTGTCGAAAATTCAGGGTTTCGTCTTGATGCCAGAGAGCCTGTCTTGCTTTTAAGGAGACAGACGTCTAGACGAGAACAGATTGATGGCTTACGTCCATGTGAAATAACTTGGTTAAGTAGAAACATGGATTTGATTTCGATATGATATTTTTGAGCCAAATTGCATGAATAAAAATATATATGAGCATAAATTGTTTCAGTGACAATTGAGCAGATTATGTAATTTGAACAATGAAAAATGCCAAGTTAACGCTTAAAATTTCTTTTGTACTTTCAAAATCATAATCAGCTGATTTTTGTTCATGCCAACTAGCTACGCTTAAAACTTGAATTTTAGGCGATAAAAACTGAAATAATCTGAAAGTAAATTTGAAATCTGGGTGATTCATTGTCGATCGTTTCATGTGAAAAAAGCTGTAAGAAAATCTTCGTGTAAAAAATGTACACTGCAAGACCCTTTGACTTCCCCTATATTGTGAAAACTTGTTCACTAAATTGAGGCGACAGACTGAAACATCACCGTTTTTGTTATTCTGATTTTCAAAGTTTTTTTGTATTTGCTACAGACTGTTTTTGGGTTACCGAAATGGTAGATTTCAACGGGTTGTTCTTAAATCATAAACTAAATCTCGGTGCCTCGTCTTCAAAATACTCGAAACATTTTCAAGAACTGTCGCAATTTCCTCGGTCTTTTACTAATGATGCGCTCAGTCTTGTTTCAATTCCATACCAAATTTATTGGCGTTTGAATACTTTCTCTGAAAATGCTTAAATTTAAAAAAGTTGAGTGAATATACTGTGGGCAAAAATGGGTAATTTAGTTTTTTTAGAAGCGAATTTTTTTTAATTTCAAAAACATCTTTTTTTGTTGAAAGAGTAATTTGGTTGGCTGGCTTAAAAGTAACAGCATTTTCTTAAATTGTCAATTATTTTTATGCATAGGTGCGCTTTTTCATTGAGTGGCATTCAAAATTGCTTCGAGTTTTGTTCGCAGCAACACAAAACAATACTAATTCTATAACATGCAAACTAGCGTTGCTGTGCATTAGTGAAAACTTCATTGTTTGATCAGACGAAAAACGCCACAAAAAAAATTAGATGCGTTTTTCAATTCAAATATTAGTTTATTATGATAAATCTCCCTTCTTGATAAATCTCCCAGGGGTTCGACTGGAATAGTCCTCCTTTTGGTGCTAGTTTACGACACCATTTTCGGCCGACTGAATCTAAATTTTTGTTAAAGCGTCTTGAAAATTGCGTTTTTTCTAAAGACGCAATTTTTTGGTCAAAACATTGCCCAAGAACGGCATCTTTTTGACTGAGGCGGAAAACTATTTTTCGTAAAATAAGTTTTTAACAGTAATTAACATAGTGAAGACTCTGATGTAGGTCTTGGTGACTTTTTTGTTTTTTTTTCCAGGAAAAAGTCTAAAAATGCTCTAATAACTACAGATGTGCATTCATATATATTGATGCATTTATGAATGCACTTAGGTATATATGCACTTTTTGAGTTAAATTGAAATAAATCTGCTGAAAGTGACGTAAATAGCCCTCTTCAAATACGAACGTGAAAATGGCGCAAAAAAAATGTTGGCTTAATATTATCAAAAAAGCGGCAATCATAAATCGTTTTGGAAACTCGAAGAGCTTAAAGAGCATCTATTGTTTTCTTTGAAGTTCAAAAGTTGTGATTTTTTCAACAGAGTCAGTGTTATTATGCGTTCATTACTCTTTTCCAATCTTCGATTGGCTATGTTTAAAATTTTTTATTGGCATTTAAAGTTTTTGTTGAAAGTAATTTGGTTGGCATGAGTCTTTTTCTGTGTTTTTACGGAGTTTTTTTCTGTGTTTTTACCGCTTGGTAACTTTTGTTCCGATGCTAATTTTGCAACCTATTGTCTCGGTATGTTTTTTTTTTCAAAACGATCTTCATCCATTTTGATAGATTGGTTGTATGTATGTTTAGTTATAGAAAATCGACATTACTTTTTGCTGATGATTTTTCGGCTTTTGATTTAGCTCTCGGTTTATTTCCGAATTGTATACCACCTTAATTTTAGTACCTATGTGGCTTTCGTGGATACTATTTGGACAGTACATGTATATTTTCCAATAAGATTTTGCTGAACAATTTCTGTTGACTTTCAGCTAATTGGCTGTCGGCTTTAATTTTGTCGGTTTGTTTACTTTAATTTTTTGTTTCCTACCAATTTTCGATCTTGTATTTAGATCAAAAAAATTTTGGCCACAAACTTATTTTTTGAATGCTAAAATTCAACCCCTTTACGGTTAAACATTACGGTTAAACTTTTCGGAGTAGTTTTTGATAGTTTTTGAGTGTCTTCTTGCTTTAATCTTATACTGTTGCATCGCAAGTGGTGCGAATCTCAGCTTCGCCTCTGTGTCAATTTTTGTTTAAATTTTGAGCGAGTAAAGCGAACGAGCAGGCTTGCAACAGCCTAATCAATGCTTAAAATTAGTCCTGAAAACATAGTTTTGAATAAATACAATAACTTTTTGATGTTTTTAGCGTCATTTTTGGAAACAAAATCTTTGAAAAAATGTTCTGCCAAAAAAATGAAACAAAAAATTGAATTTTAAATCCTTTCATCACACTATGCAGAAAAAAACACTAATTTGAAAAAAAAAATGTTTTTTTTTTTGTAGTCTCTGAAGACTGTGGTCGGTACATCCTGTGCTACTTGCACACTAACCGGCTATCCTTGCTTTGTCTTTAAAAATGTCCAACTGCAGTAATCACAGTTTTTTACACCGGAACTCTTCCTTTGTGGAAACCAAGTTTTAGAAAAGTTCATTGCAAACAGCCGAAGTGTAACTTCCAAAGCATTTTTTTATTTTATAATGAAACTTGATTTTTTTAAGTAATTTTGTGACCAGAATTTTAAAACAAGGTAAAAGCAAAAAGGGCTTAGAAAAGTGAAGATTTGTGGTGTTTCAGAGCCGCTGAGTGGTAAGTCGTCTCCGAGTAGCAGTGATGACGAGGGTGACGAGAAGAAGGACTCGGAGAAGGAGAGTCCTGTGGTCTCTGCCCCATCACCGAAACCAGAAATGGAGGTGATTGGTCCACTAACCCGCGCCTTAAATTATTTATTAACTATATTGTAGTTTTCCTGGGACAAATAAATAGTCATCATAGTATATGTTGTGTGCTTTGAGTACATTATAGAAGATATGAACTACAATTATATCAATTGCCTTGATCGAATTTTTGAAACAAAAATTTTAAAACGATTATAGATGGCGAAGATACATCTAGAGATTGTCTTTTCTCAATTATAAATCGGTTATTTAGATTCGCATCTTAACTTTTTTCCATGTTTCAGCCCATTATTGATACCACTTCTATGAAACAGAGAGGTAATTTATAAACTTGTTTTTTTTTGTAAATATATCTATGAGAAGTATGTTCATCATGTATCAGTGGGGCTGACTTGGTGTTCCTGATTTAGAACAAGAACAGCAGTTGAAGAATCTGCACCAGGCCATCGAGAAGGGGGAGAGAGACCAAGTGATCTCTTTACTCAAAGCAGACCCAGAACTCATCGGGTAAGACCCAGCAACCTTTTTCTTCCCAATATTCTCCTTCCGCAGGCATTGGAAATACTCGAATTGTGCCAGCTTTTGCTGTATAAACTATTTTTCTTACAAAGATTATTTGTCAAACCACCAAAGGAACAATATTGGGTCGTGTCCGCATACATCTAATTTCTATGAGCCGTAAAAGATTCTATTCAGAATAATTCTGATACTATTCACAGTCTGGCAGAGCCAAGCATGCAGTTCACCGCCGCCCATCAGGCTGCCATCCACCAGAGGCCAGATATGCTCAAGGTCAGTCGAGCTTACATTAAGTTCACCGTGTTCATCAATTGGGCGTCTAACTCATTGAAAAGCTTAAATTGTATATGTGTTCTGAAAGTATGAACATAATTAGGTGACTATGCATTAATATCAATCAGCATTAGGTGCTATTCTGGGACAACTTTTGATCTTCTCTAATGGTTTAAATTTTTTTCAGATTCCTTCAATCCATAGGTACAGTTCTACACCGAAAGATGATTAGCCTACAAAACCATGAACATTTAAGCATTACAAACTAATGATGATGTTTTACATCAATTTTTCATTTCATTTATCAGAATATCAGTACATTCGTATGCTTCGAAAAAATCATTATATCGTCATTATAGATATTTTAATAAACTAAGTTTATTTGTCAGGATGCGATTCTCTGATTTACAAATCTTTGGTCAGAAATTATTCAGTTTTGAAACGAATACTCTTTGAAAACAGACTTGATGGTGTCAATAACGTAGTCCAATTAAATCGCCTCCAACTAGCGATTCAGAACATGTCTTATTGTTTGCAGCTCCTCTATGACGCTGGAGCTGACTTCAACGCGGTGTCGCGTGCGGGCTTCATGCCCATCCACTACGCCGCCTGGAACAACGACGTCCAGTGCCTCGAGCACCTCCGGCTCACCGGGGCCTCCCTCAACGAACTCACTGTAGATAGACATACACCATTACACATCGCCGCCATGCGGTTAGTTGAAGCAAAATAAAACTAGAACTGTTTTGATCAATTGAACGATCAGTTCTATAACTTAAATGGTATGAGTATTGATTAACATTAGCGACCAACCACGACATACATACCAAATGCTAGATTTGTTTTCATGTACGAAGTTTTTGTTCATAGAACGATCAAATTCGCGAAACAGACCATAAAGATTAATTTATCAATTTCTGCAAAAGTTTTCTGTATTATCTAGAATTTTTTGAGCTCTTTTGCCTTTTTGCTTGTCATTGAAGTACAGCTTTGTCTGTGTGTTGAATTTTGAAACTAATTTGGCTCGTTTTGCTCATTAACAGTTTAATTGGGCAAACAAGTTTCCGTTGGATTCAGGCGCGTATCTAGGAATTTCTTGAGGGGGGCGGATTTTTTAGGTCGACAAAACTGATTTTCTGTGGTCTCATTAATCACTAAAAGACCTTAATTTGACTTAAGGCGTTTTAAGCACTTTTTGGAAAATTTCGAACAAAATATGGCGTTTTTTGGCGCGCGCTCCTCCCTCAAAATTAGTATAGATTGGCGCCAAAGGCGCCTTTAGAAAAATTTTAAGGTGAGTGAGCCAGAACTCAAAGCAGTACAAAGGGAGGAGCCTTTGGGCCGGTAGGGGGTCGAATCCCTGAGGGGGGGGGGGGCGTCAATTAGGCATAATCGACAAAAAGTTGTTTTCAAATTTCAAATGAAAAAAAAAATCACATTTTTTGAAACAGTTTTTTGCCAAGGAAGTGCTGCATGAAGCTCTTATAACTAGTTTTTCGGTACAGTCAAGTTTTGCTAAAATATACTTCAATAATACAATTTTCTTTGTGAAATTATTCTTTGAATAACGAACGCCTTGAAACAAACAGAGGATAGCCTTTTGCTGTACAACCATTTTTTTTGTTATGTTTCTAAGTAGTAGAAGGAAATCAAATCAAATAAAGAATGATTTTCTCGAGGGAAGAGGAGGATTACTAAAACAAATTGACGACCTTTTTGTAGGTTGACCAAATTGATTTTCCGAGATCTCCTAAAACACTAAAAATACCCTATTTTGGCCTAATTTTTTGCGCCGGAAGCAATTTTTTGAAAAAACAGGTCAAAAAGCCGTTTTTGGGCCTTTGTAAAGAAAATTTTAACAAAAAAATCACGTTTTTTGGCGCGCGCTCTCCCTCAAAATTAATATATATTGGCGTCAAAGGCGCCTTCACAAAAAATGTAGGGTCGGTCCGACAAAAATGTATTTCTTAAAAAGTACCAAAAGGGGGACCCTTTGGGTCGGCTGGGGGTCGAATCCCTGAAGAAGGGACGCCCCCCCCCCTCCAAAAAATAAGGTGTCTCATCTAATACTATAAATTATTTGCCTTACTTTCACTTCGCGTTTCCTTTTTTGTTTTTTTGTTGTTCTGCTAAAAAAAATCCTCTGCCCAAATTTTTTGGCCTATTCTTTATCGGCTTAATGACCTATTTTTGGGTCGTTTCAAGGGAAGCACAATGTTACCCCCGCGAAAACTACCCCTCTCAAATCAGAGTTTTTGATTCGAATGACTATAACGGTTTTGAAAAGCTCACTGCAAAAGCTGATACGCCTAAATTTTTAATTTTATACAGTTTTGACCCTCGGAATTGTCATTTTTTTTTACCGTTTTGTGAATATTTTTGACTTTTATCGAAAAGTAACCTCTCAAAACTTAGTGTTGTGGGTTCAATGTAGATAACAAGTAGTGGGAAGCTCCACTGCATTAACGACACCTCACATAGGTTTTCACACAAAAAGTTATTGTCCTTGGAAACGTCAAATTTTTTTTGTTTCTTTTGACCGTTTTTCAAACTTTCCGAGTACTCTCAAAAACTACCCTGCCATATCTGATTGTTTAAGTCAATTCAAAATATGGAATGAATGAAGCTCATTTGCTTATGCAACTACGCCCTAATTTTTCTGACACCAAGAGTTATGGCTCTCGGAAAAGTAAAAGTTTCTCTTTTTCGACCGTTTTTTGAAAGTTTCTGACTTTTCTTGAGAACTACCCTCCAAATATGAGGTTTTGAGTTCAATAGAAAATAAAGGTTGCGTGAGTCCCTTCTGCGAAAGCGGTCACGCCCGATTTGTTCATACAAGAAGCTATGATACTCGAAAATGTTAAATTTTGGATTTGTTGAACGTTTTCAGGGCTTTTCTCGCTAACTATCCTGCCAAATTTGATATCATAGGTTTAATCGAAACGACAGGTTAATGAAAACCTACCTTTATTTTTGGCTGTGCCAAATTTAATTACAAAAAAAGTTATGGCATTAAAAAAAAAGTCTTGAAAATTTGGCATTTTTTGGAAACTTTTTGACTTTACGCGAAAACTACCGTGCCAGATCTCAGGTTGCGTTCAATCGAGAAACTGGGTTTCGGTTACTTTCTCTGCTTAAGCGGCCACAACCTGCTTTTTTCTGAAAAATATTTGGATTTTGGAACTTGTTTTAACCGGTTTTTTTTTTAGAATTTGCTACCGTTATTTAGAAAATTATTTAGACCGGTTTCGATAATTGGTCCTGTAGAAGCAGCGACTGCCCATTTTTTTAAGAGAAATATTATCTCCTTGAGAATATTGATTATCAAAGTTTGAGAAATAACACAATTAAATCTCAGCTGAAAAGTTCAATTGAAAGAACCGGTTGCTATAATCGTTCCTGCAGAAGCGGCGACTCCATAACTTTTTATGAGAAATTTTATCTCCTTGAGAAAATTGATTGTCTCAAAATTTGAAATCACAATTCTCATGCCGCATCAGTATATTAATTTCATTCAATATCAAACACGAATCTCCTGTTTCAGCTGGGCTCCTAGTTGTTTTCCTCTCGAGACATACGAAAATTTTGGTTCACTTATTTTTTTTTCACTATTTAAAATTTCAGTATTCTTATATATTTTAATGTTTGTGTGGTATCGTAAGTGATGCGAAGTTCCGCATTGCCTATGTGTTTAAATTCTTATCAAACTGAATTCAATTGAGAAAATGAAGCACAATATGCCCTCAATGTGAAAAAGAGCATTTGACTCAAAAAAGTTTTGACGGTGGTTCAGTTTCAAAAAAGGATCTTATTTTTTTGAAAGATTTATCAAATAAAAAAAATATCAGTTTTTTATAAAATGGTAATTTAAAAACCGATCAGAAAGACATCAACATTATCAAATGACGATGGTCTGATTGAAGACGCATAAATAGCTTGTGTAATTTTTTTCATAAAGAATCAAAAAAGTTATTCACGCTCAAATTTCAATTATGTGGCTGGACTTGATTTTTTAAAGTTCAGTGTGAAATCATTTGCTAATGGGAAGGCAAATTCCATCAGAGCGAAAAAATGTGAATTACGGTATGAAAAATGGATTTTAATCATTAGGATTTTCAGCCGACTAAAAAATAAATCTAATGATCCAGTTTTTTTTTTTTCAAATTTGGTTATTTTTTTTTCAAAATAGTTACCATCATAAAAAATTTTATAAGTTCAAGGAGTTTTAAAATAATGTTTTGTCTGTGAATTTTGAAAGTTGAAATTTTTTTGTCTCCTCATGTTCATTTACTTTTTTCTTACTGTCTGTTGACGATGTTTCGTTTTATTGACTCTTATCCAACTCTCGGATGGTTATGTTTTTTTATTTTGACCAGATGGCAAGAAACTTACTGCTCTGTTGTATTTTTCACGGCAAAATTTGGTACCACAAATATATTATTAATGGGTTCGAGTGATATATCATATAGACCATTTTCTACCTTGATTCAAGCTGTTCTTCCGGTTTTTAGTTTTACTTTTTATTCGCTCATAGCGATGTTTTACAGCAATGTTTTTGTTCGATTTTCTCTTGCAATTGTTACTGGCCGAAATTTTCCGTGCTGAAGAGTATTTATACTAAGCTTGAGTGTGATGGATGCCGTAATATTCTTCAAATATTTGTCTATCTTATTTAATATTTTGTCTCCTTATATTCCTCAAATATTTGTCTATCTTATTTAATATTTTGTCTCCTTATATTCTTCAAATATTTGTCTATCTTATTTAATATTTTGTCTCCTTATATTCTTCAAATATTTGTCTATCTTATTTAATATTTTGTCTCCTTATATTCTTCAAATATTTGTCTATCTTATCTAATGTTTTGTCTCCTTATATTCTTCAAATATTTGTCTATCTTATTTAATATTTTGTCTCCTTATATTCTTCAAATATTTGTCTATCTTATTTAATATTTTGTCTCCTTATATTCTTCAAATATTTGTCTATCTTATTTTATATTTTGTCTCCTTATATTCTTCAAATATTTGTCTATCTTATTTAATATTTTGTCTCCTTATATTCTTCAAATATTTGTCTATCTTATTTAATATTTTGTCTCCTTATATTCTTCAAATATTTGTCTATCTTATTTAATATTTTGTCTCCTTATATTCTTCAAATATTTGTCTATCTTATTTAATATTTTGTCTCCTTATATTCTTCAAGTATTTGTCTATCTTATTTAATATTTTGTCTCCTTATATTCTTCAAATATTTGTCTATCTTATTTAATATTTTGTCTCCTTATATTCTTCAAATATTTGTCTATCTTATTTAATATTTTGTCTCCTTATATTCTTCAAATATTTGTCTATCTTATTTAATATTTTGTCTCCTTATATTCTTCAAATATTTGTCTATCTTATTTAATATTTTGTCTCCTTATATTCTTCAAATATTTGTCTATCTTATTTTATATTTTGTCTCCTTATATTCTTCAAATATTTGTCTATCTTATTTTATATTTTGTCTCTTTATATTCTTCAAATATTTGTCTATCTTATTTAATATTTTGTTTCCTTATATTCTTCAAATATTTGTCTATCTTATTTAATATTTTATCTCCTTATATTCTTCAAATATTTGTCTATCTTATTTAATATTTTGTCTCCTTATATTCTTCAAATATTTGTCTATCTTATTTAATATTTTGTCTCCTTATATTCTTCAAATATTTGTCTATCTTATTTTATATTTTGTCTCCTTATATTCTTCAAATATTTGTCTATCTTATTTAATTTTTTGTCTCCTTATATTCTTCAAATATTTGTCTATCTTATTTAATATTTTGTCTCCTTATATTCTTCAAATATTTGTCTATCTTATTTAATATTTTGTCTCCTTATATTCTTCAAATATTTGTCTATCTTATTTAATATTTTGTCTCCTTATATTCCTCAAATATTTGTCTATCTTATTTAATATTTTGTCTCCTTATATTCTTCAAATATTTGTCTATCTTATTTAATATTTTGTCTCCTTATATTCTTCAAATATTTGTCTATCTTATTTAATTTTTTGTCTCCTTATATTCTTCAAATATTTGTCTATCTTATTTTATATTTTGTCTCCTTATATTCTTCAAATATTTGTCTATCTTATTTAATATTTTGTCTCCTTATATTCTTCAAGTATTTGTCTATCTTATTTAATATTTTGTCTCCTTATATTCTTCAAATATTTGTCTATCTTATTTAATATTTTGTCTCCTTATATTCTTCAAATATTTGTCTATCTTATTTAATATTTTGTCTCCTTATATTCTTCAAATATTTGTCTATCTTATTTAATATTTTGTCTCCTTATATTCTTCAAATATTTGTCTATCTTATTTAATATTTTGTCTCCTTATATTCTTCAAATATTTGTCTATCTTATTTAATATTTTGTCTCCTTATTTTCTTCAAATATTTGTCTATCTTATTTTATATTTTGTCTCCTTATATTCTTCAAATATTTGTCTATCTTATTTAATATTTTGTCTCCTTATATTCTTCAAATATTTGTCTATCTTATTTAATATTTTATCTCCTTATATTCTTCAAATATTTGTCTATCTTATTTAATATTTTGTCTCCTTATATTCTTCAAATATTTGTCTATCTTATTTAATATTTTGTCTCCTTATATTCTTCAAATATTTGTCTATCTTATTTTATATTTTGTCTCCTTATATTCTTCAAATATTTGTCTATCTTATTTAATTTTTTGTCTCCTTATATTCTTCAAATATTTGTCTATCTTATTTAATATTTTGTCTCCTTATATTCTTCAAATATTTGTCTATCTTATTTAATATTTTGTCTCCTTATATTCTTCAAATATTTGTCTATCTTATTTAATATTTTGTCTCCTTATATTCTTCAAATATTTGTCTATCTTATTTAATATTTTGTCTCCTTATATTCTTCAAATAATTGTCTATCTTATTTAATATTTTGTCTCCTTATATTCTTCAAATATTTGTCTATCTTATTTAATATTTTGTCTCCTTATATTCTTCAAATATTTGTCTATCTTATTTAATATTTTGTCTCCTTATATTCTTTAAATATTTGTCTATCTTATTTAATATTTTGTCTCCTTATATTCTTCAAATATTTGTCTATCTTATTTAATATTTTGTCTCCTTATATTCTTCAAATATTTGTCTATCTTATTTAATGTTTTGTCTCCTTATATTCTTCAAATATTTGTCTATCTTATTTAATATTTTGTCTCCTTATATTCTTCAAATATTTGTCTATCTTATTTAATATTTTGTCTCCTTATATTCTTCAAATATTTGTCTATCTTATTTTATATTTTGTCTCCTTATATTCTTCAAATATTTGTCTATCTTATTTAATATTTTGTCTCCTTATATTCTTCAAATATTTGTCTATCTTATTTAATATTTTGTCTCCTTATATTCTTCAAATATTTGTCTATCTTATTTAATATTTTGTCTCCTTATATTCTTCAAATTTTTGTCTATCTTATTTAATATTTTGTCTCCTTTTATTCTTCAAATATTTGTCTATCTTATTTAATATTTTGTCTCCTTATATTCTTCAAATGTTTGTCTATCTTATTTAATATTTTGTCTCCTTGTATTCTTCAAATATTTGTCTATCTTATTTAATGTTTTGTCTCCTTATATTCTTCAAATATTTGTCTATCTTATTTAATATTTTGTCTCCTTATATTCTTCAAATATTTGTCTATCTTATTTAATATTTTGTCTCCTTATATTCTTCAAATATTTGTCTATCTTATTTTATATTTTGTCTCCTTATATTCTTCAAATATTTGTCTATCTTATTTAATATTTTGTCTCCTTATATTCTTCAAATATTTGTCTATCTTATTTAATATTTTGTCTCCTTATATTCTTCAAATATTTGTCTATCTTATTTAATATTTTGTCTCCTTATATTCTTCAAATTTTTGTCTATCTTATTTAATATTTTGTCTCCTTTTATTCTTCAAATATTTGTCTATCTTATTTAATATTTTGTCTCCTTATATTCTTCAAATGTTTGTCTATCTTATTTAATATTTTGTCTCCTTGTATTCTTCAAATATTTGTCTATCTTATTTAATATTTTGTCTCCTTATATTCTTCAAATATTTGTCTATTAAAAAGAAGATATCTCCATATGATGCAAGTTTGTTTTTTTACCTTTAGTCTATTTGAAACGAAAAATCATATGACCGTGAGCTCAGTTTTGTAGATTTTGCTCGCTATTAAAAATTTTGTTTGTTTTAATTAAATCGGCTAATTTGATCAAAAAGTTCAATCACCATTTTTCTCAACGTTTCTTTATCGTTTTGGTTTAAACTATTTGTCTATTTTTTCACTTGTACTTTAGTGGCAACAAAGAAGCCGTCAAATGGCTCATGATTAAAGGATGCGTGCTGAACTACCGCGATAGTCTGGACCGAACCCCTGCCGACGTTGCCTCTCTGAACGACCACGACACTATCTCGATTTTAATTGCCAAATGCGTGAATAGACTGAAACAGAGCCAGGACATAGTTGAAATAATTACAGATACAGATTTATCCGCAGCTGTGAGTCCCATGTCCAGTTTAACAGCCAACGGACCAGAGATTCTGGACAGTTTGACCCATCAGGTTAAGAGTAATCAAGGCGATATAGGTGACCTCCACGGGGCTATTGCACGCAATGATGAAAATGAAGTGAGGAGCATTTTGAAGGGAAAACCGCATTTGGTCAAGTAAGTATTACCCAATAACTGTCCTGTTTACTCTTTCTGAAAACTTAACAAATGTAAAGTTTTTAAAAGACAGGTATAGTCATTTACTCAGATTGGTCGCATTACTTGTTTTAGCTCAAAATTATGCGTTCAGCTTTCTTTTTGAAACAGTTCACCGATTTTGAAAGAAAAATTTGTTATCTGGACATCATAAATCAGTAGACTTCTGAACCAAAAATTTCAATTTTACACTTTGTTTCGTGATGATTTATTTTTTTTCAAACGATAAAATGTGACGTGATGGTTCAATTAAGCCTATTGTTCTTGCTTCAAAATAGAAGTGATTGTTTTTCCTTCATATTTTATATTCCTTTTATATACACCTGCTTTTCAGTTTAGAACCGATTTGTGTTAAGTTGAGCTCATTTGTAGGTAATAAGCAATAAGCAACAACAGCCAAGCAACAAAACACGCTTAAATTGTTATGTTTAACGTTTGTTTTGGCTCCCTTGTTGCTTTTTTTCTGTTTTGGTTTGAGAGCCAAATAAGTCTAACCGCTGGCGTGAAAAAAAAAGCTGTTTCCAACGTGGAAAATAAAATCATGCTTGCATTCAATTTGATAGCTTCCAAAACTTAAATGATGAGCATTTGAAAAGTGAAAGATAATTGAAATTATATTAAATGTTTAACCTTCATATTTTGAGAAATTTTTGAACCGAAAATTGCTGTCCAAATAAATTTAATTTTGCAACTGAATTCAAAATTGATTAAAAAACCCGGGTTAAAATGACGTGAAGTGTAAAAGAGTCGTGAAGACAGTGTTGGCATGTAAACTAGCTGAAGTATAAACCAGCCGAAAATACGTACCCGGGTTGACGAAAAATGCTTATCATACAATTTCCTACAGTTCCGTAGATTCAGAAAATTGTAAGAAAACTCTAGGAAAAACATTTTTTCATATATGGAAATTGTACGATAAACCTTTTTGCATATTTGAATATTGTATGACAAGCGTTTTTCTTATATGGAAGTTGTATGATGGGTGTTTTGTCATTTATGATAACTTTATGACAAACGATTTTTGTTTTAAATTTGTAATATTAAATGAGGTAAAATTTACATTACAACCATTCCATAAATCGCGCAATCTGTGAACAGAGAAGACCTGCGAAAAATTAGAGCACTTTAGAGGTAGCAACCTCAATTTCTTCATTTCTTGCAGGCGAATCTTTTCAACTCTTGAGAGAGCAACCAAGTGCTAAGCTTAATCCTAGGGACCAATACCAAAGGGGTGTTGGCTCACACATAAAAAAAACTGTCAATTTGTTAGGGATGCACTCTCTAGCGTACGTCCTTCAGCTCTGACAGGAAGCCGTCATTCACCAGTTCTGCCCTCGACATACAATCATTTCCTATAGAAACCTTTTTTACACGTGCCAGAAACAATATATAATCTGAATTGAGCATGGAAACATATTTTCTTATTTGATATTGCTTTGTGACTAAACTTTAGAATTTCTACACAATTGACAAAAACTCACTTTAAAGGCCATCATAGGAATGATTAATCAGAAGATCTGGTCGAAAGTCAGCCAAGAAATGGCGCTCAGAAGCACAATGGTCCGCTGATTAATTTAGTGAAAACATAACAGTAATGTGCTTCTCGGTGCCATCGGTTGGCGTGTTTTCGGCATAGTCTTCTCAGACGCGAGTCATATGGTGGTCTTCAAAATCAATTTCAGCCAGTTGAATCGTTATCCTGAAAAAAAAATTTGTTCCACGACCATTTTTAACTCGTCAACACGACTAATTTGGATACAACGAACTAAAATACCCTCTTGAAACGAAAAACGGCCTAAACTCGTGTTTTAGAACGTGGAAACGTTTTCAAGAGGCATCTGAAACACTGACACTTTCGGAAAACAAAATGTTTACCATATAACTTTCATTTGCATAATTTGCTTGATAATGTTTTCAACAAAAGATTTAGGAAAAGACCAATCTCATCAAATTGAGACACTATCAAAATTTGCTTAATTATAATTTAAAAAAACATTCTGTAAGCATTTTTGATATGTTGAAAGTTTTTTGAAAGAAATGCTTGTCATAGAAATATCATATATTGAAGTTGCAAGATAAGCATTTTCTAGCTCCAAATTGAAAATTTGTTGGTGACTAGTGCTTTCAGTTGAGCAAAAAGCGCTCCTAACTAATAAAAATTCAATTACAATCAATTTTAAAAGGTTTCTGAAAACTTTGTCTTTTATAGAAAAGCGCTTGTCATTCAATTTTCATATATGGAAATTGTATGATAAACGTTTTTTCCCAAAAATTAGAAAATACATTTTTCCACGCCAGACTGTTTTAATTGGATCAATTAGCCGCAAAAATTAGTTCGAACTTTTTTCTAATCATTTTTTGAAATTGTATGAAAAATGTATGATTAACATTTTTGCATACATTCGATGCATGGAATTGTATGATGAGCATTTTCAGTGTATGGAATTCTAAGATAAGTATTTTCCGTTTGTGGAGATCAACCGGGGTAATTGTTATTTGATACAGTTGTAATTATTGTAATTATTACTATAATATTATTGTAATTATTATTACTATAATATTATTGTAATTTTATTACTATAATATTATTGTAATTATTATTACTATAATATTATTGTAATATAATTACTATTATTGTAGTTATTGTAATAGTTACAAAAGTTACACAAGCTTCATTCATGTGGCTTGTTTTTGGCTGGTTCATATACTCTGCGCATTTTCGGTTGGTTTTGTACTTCGGCTAGTTTATTTACCCGCAAGAAAACAGTGTTAATGTGAAATGGTAATGGTCCTTTTTCAGTCTTCCGAACAACAAGGGCGAGACGGCCATCCATGTGGCTACTATCAACAAGAGGCCCAACATAACCCAGGCAAGCAAACTCAGTTGCACATTCTTACCTTTCTCTCGAGTAATAAACTTTGTCATATATTTGTTATTATGAAACTCAAGAAAAGTCTTATGATAAGCATAGATAGAATATGTATTATTATAATATGTAATATAATTAAATTTTCCGCAAACTGAACTTCCTATTTGTTTTAGCCCATGTTTCCACTGAAGAAAGTGTTCTTAAACTACAAGCCCGTTTCATACGTTCTAGTTCATTGTTTTGAAAGTAGTTTTTTATATTTTAGCTGCTGTCCACAATGGGTTCTGAGTTGGCCCAGGCGACTGTGTCTGGATTGCAGCCGATCCATCTGGCAGTGCTTAGTGAACACATTCCCTCTCTGGACATGCTGATTGATCTTGATGTGGACATAGACGCCAAGACTCCACAGGCCAACACTCCACTACACCTCGCGGCCGAAAGGTTAACAGATATTAACAATGACAAAAACGTTTTTGTATTTGTATAATTAAATATTTTCAAAAAAATCGATAAAAACCTAAATGCTCTCCTGTATATATTATATTTATCCTAGGAAACATCATCACTTAAAAACAATTCGACCTCTGAGAAAAATATAGATCTGCACTGTGTATAGTAAGTAAAGTTATACTGGGAAACACCATCGTTTTTTTTGGAAATTGATTTTTGTGAAAAAATCTCTTGCACAAGGCACTTGAAATGATTTGTACGGAACATTCTGAGGAATCGTTCGTGATTCTCCATCAATCAAAATGGTACCATATCTCGTCTTCCTTCAGTTTCAATGAATCTTCAGGTAACCTGTTCCATGTTTTCACGCTGTCTAATGTAGTTCCGGGCCATATCCTCAATATTGCAAAAATCTACAAATCGACATGAATACAGTGACATTTGTATTTTAATGGATCTTCTGAAACTCTCGAAGCCTCAGTAGTTGAATTGTTGCTTTCTTTTTTTCAGGGGTCTGTTGAGTAGTGTCAAGTGGCTTATAGATCAAGGAGCGGTGCTCAACTTCCGCAATGGACAAAGGAAGAACCCGATGGACCTAGCCATAGAGAAGGGCCACACATCCATAGCCAACCTCATCCAGGCTTGTGTGAGCAAACTGAAGAATGGCGAAGACGTGACAGAGATACTCAAACAGTATCCTCAAAGTTCCTCATAGTTCAGAGTGGAAAAAATAAGTATCCTCAAACAGTTCCTCATAGTTCAGAGTGGAAAAAATAAGTATCCTCAAACAGTTCCTCATAGTTCAGAGTGGAAAAAATAAAATTTTAAGCACCGGTGAAGCGCTCTCATTTTTTGATTCGAACAGAATTTGAACAAAAAATTAATCTCATCAGTTGGTTATGAAATAAAAGAAAAGCGATCATGGCGCTATTTTTGAAGCAAATTAGGCTATTCATTTTTTAGAGACCAGAAACATATAACATTCTCGGTAATTTTCGAGTTTTACATCAAGTTATGTCAAAGATGCACGCTGAATTGATGCAAGCTGAATGCTAGTTCTGGTCTTAGAAAACGAAGCTACCTCGCCTCTGTGTCTGTGCTAATTTCCCGCTGGAATCGGGCGTAAATATATGCATGAAATTTTGCCAGTTTAAAGCACTTCTCTCCAATTTAAAAACAAAAAATTTTCTCATCTCAGTCAATAAATTTTTGGAAGTTCAAAGAGAAATGTTTTATATTTTCAGCAAAAAAATTGTTGCAGATTAAATTGGTGGTCTATTTCAGATTCTTTAATTAGTAGCCGGTTATACATAACTGCATCTGTACAAAGTCATGTTGATATTGTAAAAATTTATGTGGTAGTTAGCCCTTGAGCACTTGATGTTAATGTTAGCCACATTTTGAAAATGAATATTTACACTAAGTGTTTTCTCTCAGATGAGATTGCGTCCAACTAATTCGAACCTGAATCTTGTTGTTCCGTCTTTCGATACGAAAGTAACGGAATATTTGTGCTCGGGGTGGGTTTTTTTTTCTTCAGACAAATTTCGACTTTTTAACTAGCCATTTTTGACGGAATTTTCTTTTATCATTCAAAAGGTATAGCTGTCCTGAGCTTAAATTTAAAAAGATATTTCACCTGTGATCATTTTTTGTAAAGTTATGGGGTTTAAAGATTGCCATTTTGGGACAATTAACGCGCGATATAATTCGCGCTATTAACGCATAAGCGGAGATTTAATCCGTCTTAGAAATCGTTCCAAACTGGTTGAAAGAGGCTCATTTGCCATAATTGATTGATTACAAGTAGCGAAATCTATTGTTTTGTTCTCAATATGGCGTGTGGGGAGATGATTTTCATAGAAAAAATTTCAGAGAAAAAAGTTTTCTTTTCATTTTATTTCATTTTTTTTAATGCTGTTTATGTTATTACTGCTCCATAAACCTTAAAGACAGTCGGAACATTCAGGGCTTCGCCCTGATACGAGCAGTCTTGTTTACATTGGCAAATGATATCAATTGTCTACCAAGCCTTCTCGTGCCGACTTTTAGAGAAGGTAACAGATTATTTGAGCTTAATGTGGTTATTTCGTCTTCAGACAGAAACTGATTTTTCAACTGGTCTTTTTGACGTTTTGTGCAATCTACAGTCGCGAAACATAAGAGTTGCACCTTTTACTTTTAGATTGACATAGCGAATGAAAGTTTTTCTACGTTTTTCCGTTTTTTTAATAACTACTAGAGGTTCACAGCTCAAAGTATGATAGATGAAACTTTTTATTAGAATAAAGCTGGATAAAAAACGACATTATTTTAAATGCGTTGTTTGGTGATTCAAACAGAGGGCGTCAGTGAGTTTTTCTTGGTGCCATTCTTAGTTTTTTGTGCAAAAGCAGTTTGAAACTTCGGAAAATACTGTCGATAAATTTTTTCTGAGATTCCAGTCCACTTCCGTTTAGGAGCTCAACAAACATTTTCTTTTTCATGTGAAGGGAAACTTACGTGAGGACCCAGCTTAGATCATTAGCTTTCTAATGAGTAACTTTTGATTTAAAATTTCAGACTGCATCTACTGTTTACGGGGAGTTTTGGCCGTTAGAGCTTCTTTTCAATTCGCTCCAAATAAGTGGCCAAACAAAGACGTTAAAAACAACTTTCTAGATTTTTTCATCTGGCTATACACCAGTAAGCAGTTTCGTTCAATTATTTTCAAAAGTTCAACCGTCAATCTTTAGTAGTTGTAAAAAAAAATAGCAGAAACGTCGAAAAAATTTACTTTCAGTGTAACAATTTAGATATAAAAATTGCAAATTGAATTTTTTGTCCGGGAAAAAAAGTTGTTCCCTGAGCTTACATTTAAACAGATATTTCACTTGTGATCGTTTGGTTCAGTTCAGAGTTTTTTAAATTTTCCATTTTAGGGTTATTAATGCGCGCTTTCCACTTATTTAATTTTCCACTTATTTAATGCCCAGCTTGGGTGGTGGTCAAAATCATTCCAAATAAAGTGAGGTAATATATTTGCTCTGCATAATTTGTTACTAGATGATAAACTCAAAAATTGAAAATTAATTTCTCAAAAATGTTTGGTTTCTTTTTTAAACATAGCATATTCAGAGCTTTCAGCATATTCAGAGCTCTGCCTTTTTACACGAAGTCTTACTGATAAGAATATTATTTCCCGCTTCTGAGCGTTTCTTTCAGCTTCTGGATTCTTTAGTTGTTTAAGCAGTGTTTCCTGAAAAAATTATGCTCAGTTTTTTCATAATCATTTCAAACAAAATCATCCGGTTACTGTACAACTATAACCGAGTGTTCAGACCAGGGGTGGATTTAGGCAGGGGCGCCCCCCCCCCCTCAGGGATTCGACCCCCTGCCGACCCAAAGGGTCCCCCTTTTGAACTATTTTGAGATATCCATTTTTAATGACGGACCCAAATTTTTTTTAAAAGCGCCTTCGGTAATTTTGAGTGGGGAGCGCGCGCAGAAAAAATACAATTTTTTGGTCAAAACTGTCCAAAAAGTGCTTAAAAATGCCTTTTTGGCCTGTTTTTTTTTCATTTTGCCTGCGGCGCAGAAATGTTGGCCAAAACAGGGACCTAAAAAAGCTTTAGGAGAGCTCGAAAAATCAATTTGGCCGACCTAAAAAAAAGTCGACAGAATTTTCTAGAAAGGTCGACAAAATTTTCAAAAATTCCCCCTTGAGAAAATCCTAGATCCGCCCCTGGTTCAGACCACAAAATTTTGAACCACTAAAACGTATAAAAATATGTAATTTTTTGCTACGCAAGAAATTAAACCCGCCTGAAAAAAAACGTTTTTGATTGTTTCCGATTATATCCAAACAGTTATATATGTTAGCAAGCATATTATTTTAAAATCATACTGCCTACAAAATATTGACGTTGAAAGACTAAAAAGCTTATTTTGGTTAATGGTCTCCGATGGTTGCGTGACGATTACCTATAAGTAATTTATCTATATAGTTCTAAGAAGTTTTCCAAATTGAGCAAAGTCGTGTTTTTGGTTTTGTATGAGAGTTTTTTCAGAGTAAACTCTTTATCAATTAATAGGGCCATGAATCGATGTGGCATGTTTTGCGTCACTTGAAGGGAAATGTTCTAATTTTGGGCTGCAATCCAGTTTTTTGGAGAAAATGGGGTATTAGGAATAGTAACAATTTGGGTTTTTGAAGGATTTAAAACATCGTTTTTTTTTTATCTCTGATGGCTTTGATCGTTCAGAGACTTTGTATTTCAGCGATTATTGCGAATTCGACTCTTTGGCAATCTGAAGAAAACAACTCTGTACGGCATGTCTTTCCCTGGCATATGTTCAAATGAAAAGTCGAAAGGGAGTTTTTTATCTGTCCACCTAGTTAATCTTGATTGGGTAGTTTTAGCATAGCGATCATCCATTCCCTGATCAGTGCTTTATCATCTGCTAAGGTCTAGATTTGTGACTCTAATAGGTAGTTTTTGAAATGGTTCAATGACCAGACCAATCCTAGCAGTTCCATTTTGTTTGTGCTGTATTTTATCTCTACTTCAAAAAAAAACAAAAATCAAATGCTAATGTATTTTACACATTCTACAAAAATCAAATGCTAAAAAAATTTTCATTTTGTTCGATTGAAGCCCCTAGTCACGTTTGTGATGAATTGCTTTTGACTCTAGTTTTCTTTGTTTTATCGAACGGACGATTCGTCACTGGTCTAGAGAATTCAAATTTGACTTTCACAAAGGCTTTTTGGTGTTTTTTTTTTGTTAATGAAAAATGTTTATTTTTTTGCTTTAGATTTCTAAACAGTGTTGAAAGTATCATTAGGTTAGACATAATTTTGTTGAACGGATTTATTGAACCCATAATTAGTTTATTATTTTTTATTCATCTTGGTCTTTTTAGATTTTTGATTGCATCAGCTTTATTTATGCGAGGTTGTTCCGAGATTGTCAACTTTAATTGCTAGCCATTCGATCTCTTGCGTTAGAAATTGATATTTTTCTCAATTGATGGAGGAAAAACAATTCGTCTGGAGATTTCAACACTTTTAAAACTGTTTTGCTGTGGTTACAAGCTGTTCCGAGAGTAGCTATTAAGATATCATCCCGGTAGCTTTGAGTATTTCCTAAAGTGCAGAGCAACTTAACCGTAATGCTCTGGAATTCATTGGTCATTTCGCCCAATGTCATTCAGGATTTGTTCAACGCATGATTTCATTTTTGGAAGTAAGTGTCTGAGAATATGGTTTCCCTTGACTTGAATCGGTCTTAGTGGCTCAATAAAATAGTGATTACTTTAAGACTTTAAGACCTGTCTATTCTTGTGGTAAAAACTAGAAATTGGTTAGGAAATGGCTTGCTGAGCTCTCTTTGTTGGGTGTTCTCGGATTTAGGATTGTGGGATTCAATTTGTTCTTTGAACTGTTCAGCAGTGATGTCGGCTTGGATTTGGCAAATTTGGCCGTTCTGTTTTGTTAAACGAGATGGAAGTTGTGACAGTTTGCTACCCAAATTAGGAATGAGGATGTCGTTTCCCAAAAGATTTTCACTGCTCCTTTGGTTAGTTGAAACCTCTTCTCGTTTGCCTCCCATTCGTTTGAGTGAATCTTCATGACCACTTTTCACATCACGTTTATGGTACTACCAAATCCTGGGTATGTCCGTTCTGTATTTTGATCTACGGGCTCTACCTCCAAAAAACTGTCTCTACTTCTCAGTTTGTGTAAAAGATCTTTTTTCATAAACGATACCAAACGGCTATTTCTCGCCTCAAGAGATTTTCATTTTTTTATTTCTCGGTTTTCTTGATTGAATACTGCTCGAATGCCGCCTTTACTCTGTCCCTTATTCTGTTGGCTTCCATTTCCTTGTCAATCGCCAGTATCCTTAAATCGTCGAAGTTAACGAGGACCTTGGGATCTGAGTTAGTATCCTGGTGTTGATTGGCGGTTTCAGCATCTGTTTTGGTATTTGCTTGGTCGACGATGATCGTTTGTATTTGTGCTCTTTCCCCACTCTTGCAACGCAACGTTTTGCGAAATGTCCCTTCCACCCACAGCTGTAGTGAGACATCGCTCTAGCTGGGCATACTAAAAGATGGCTTTTTTGGAATGATTGACCTCAACTTTGATACTTCTGGGTTTTTGATATTTTAAGAGTTTGTTCATTTCTTTTGTTCGTGTTTATTTTAAAGAAATATACAATTGGGGTTTTGACGGTTTGCTAATGAAATTGGGTTCCCTTTTCGTGGCAAGTACGTGGCAGGATCGTTTTTGTCGCTGCGTAGCATCTTCATTCTCTGCAGGCTGTTCGGGGATCGGAACTCGGTTATGGAGTCGCATCTGGCGGTTTATTGACGTCATCTATGTCTAGGGAGTCTTTTGCTATGATAGTGATATGGAATTTTCCTGCCCATTCTTCC